TAATGCAAAAGATGCCTTATCCAACGTTGTAATGTTATCTCACATCAACCCAGAAGCTTCACTCATTTATGTACAGATGCATCGCAGGTAGCAGTGGGAGCAGTTTTACAACAAAAGTTCAATAATGACATCACTCCACTTGCTTTCTTCTCCAAGAAGTTGGAACCTGCGCAAACTCGTTACAGCACTTTTGGCAGAGAACTGTTAGCCATCTACCTAGCAGTGAAACATTTCAGCTTCTTACTACAAGGTCGACATTTTACTATCTTAACCGACCATAAGCCTCTTTGTTATGCTTTCACCACTTCGTTGGACAGACACTCTCCGAGAGAAGCCAGACAACTGGATTACATCTCACAATTCTCAACAGACATCCAGTTCATCAAAGGAGATTCCAATATCGTAGCCGATTCCTTGTCTCGATGTGACGTTAATCACCTATCTTCGATAGATATTAGCTTAGACAATATTGCCAAGCTGCAGAAAAATGACGCCGAACTCCATACTTGTAGACGAAACTCCTCCCTACAGTTGCAGGATGTACCTATTCCCCTGTCTGATACAACTATCGTCTGCGACGTTTCAACGGGCGTTCATAGACCTTTTGTTCCACTAAGTTGTCGAAAACCTTTGTTTGAACATCTACATTCATTGTCTCATCCTGGAGTGCGTGCTACGGTCAAGTTAATCAGCGAGCGTTTTGTTTGGCCCAAGATGAACTCCGATATTCGGAAATGGGCCCGCCAATGCTTGCAATGTCAAAGATCCAAGGTACATCATCATACCGTCACACCTCCAAAACAGTTCAATTTACCGGATAAACGATTTCAACACGTTCATATAGATATTATTGGACCATTACCGCCATCCAGAGGATTTACTCATATACTTACTGCGATTGATCGATTTACCCGATGGGCTATTGCTTGTCCACTCAACGATATATCTGCAGAAAATATCGCTTTGGTTTTCTTAGATCGCTGGGTGTCAAACTACGGAGTACCCACAACTATTACAACAGACCGAGGAGCTCAATTTCAATCAACTCTGTTTCGAGAGTTTACGAGACTCCTTGGAGTGAACCATATCTCCACTACAGCTTATCATCCTGCAGCGAATGGTCTGGTGGAACGTTTCCATCGACAACTGAAAAGCTCGCTTATGGCACAAGCTGACTCATCTAAGTGGAGTGAACACCTACCATTAGTTCTTCTCAGTATCCGATCAACTGTAAAAGAAGATTTGGGATGTACACCAGCTCAACTTGTGTATGGTACTACCCTCACATTGCCTGGTCAGTTAGTTCCGTCTAATGATTCAACTGAAGTAAATATCTCCGACTTCACCAACCGCCTTACCCAGCAAATGCTTCAGCTTCGACCAGTAGCCCCTCGCCAATCACTTCAGAAAGCTCAAGTAAATAAGAATCTACTCACTAGCAAATTTGTATTTGTTCGCGTCGATGCCATTAGAAAAGGTTTACAACATCCATATGAAGGTCCTTTTCTAGTACTTAAACGCACCGATAAATACTTCACGCTGAACAAACATGGTAAACCGGAGACTGTTTCTATCGACCGTCTTAAACCAGCGTACACCGACAGCGAACATGAAACACTAGCAACGCCGACACCAATAAACAATCAGAAAGTCAATTCAACTCCAACTCTCCCTCTTTTCACTCTTCCCCCTGTACAGACACGCAGTGGGCGGCAGATCTGTAAACCTGCCCGCTATGTTCATTTCATTGACTGACATAAACGTTAACCTCATTTAGACATTCTTCTCATTACTATTGTTGTCGAGATTCATTTCATTATAACCATAAATATTTATTAGTATTATTATTTGCTGTTCGTCAACTGTACTGCAAGCACACGCATTCACCAAGTATATGTATATATCTATTTATATATGAATTTCACAAATGTTAACGAACATGTCATGGTTTATTATGTACATAAATTTTTTATTTAAAATTACAACAAGTTTTGATTTTTTTTAAATTCCTGTATGTGCTTGTATGTGCTAAACTTTATACGACACGGATGCATGCCATACATCCTGATCTAACTTTGTATCCTTATTGTTGTTATTGTTATTTTTTGTTATCCTTATTGTTGACATTGTCCCTTATTTATATTGCTTATATTCATGTAATCGTCCACGAGGACAGTACTGATGGTCCTCCGGACCTCTAAGAGGGGGAGCCCTGTGGAGTCCTCAAAAATAAACTTATCCAAATTTTACTACTATGTAAGAAATGAACATATTGTACATCACTTTGTTTTAACCATAAACTCTGTACTTTGAACTTTACCTCGGGTTTTGAAAAAAATATAGTTCTGCCTCCGACTCTCCGTCTTCTCCACCATCCCAACTGCCGTCGATCAATTTTAATCACCTGCTTTCTATCTCAAATTTTTGCAGGAGCACCGTAGTTTCTTCCTACGTACTTTGGTCGACCCCCGGCAACGTCAACATTGGAGCAGTCTTCTCGTAGTACCTCTGGAGTCTATTACGTTTATTGTGGATTTTGGATCTTTGTAAACCCAAGTAACGAAACTTTAATATGTTCTTCCCGTAACTAAACTGATTTAGTATTTTATTTTCTATTTGAATTCGGGATACTACACTAACAGAGTTAAAGGTCCACCACACGTTCTAATTCCGGGTAGTTACTGCACTTACAAGAATGATACTGCACTGCATATTACACGGATATCGATTAGGCTGTCGAGCAGAAACAGGTAGTTATAACCGAATTTCAGTAGACTAATACCATATATATGACCAGATAAGAAATGGGACAAAACAAAGTTTAGACTTTTTGCTGCGGTGTCACAGTGGTTAGGACTCTCACCAACCATAAACGTGGTCCGGGGTTCGATCCCCTGACGACGCATATATACATATATATTGACTATAGCTTGATTCCACACAGTATTTTTGGTACAAGTATGGAATTTGCAGCAGGTGATATCGGTATCCTAAATTTTGCAGACCATTTATATCAGGTGTGCATCGGCAGGGGATCGAACCCTGGACCACGTTTATGGTTGGTGAGAGTCCTAATCACTGTGCCACCGACTCAAGTTCTACTAGTTTGACCTATGTATTTGACCTGAAAATCATTGCAGAGTATTAGATAAACTGAATTATTTTGTTTTAAAGGCTCCACAGGACTGATCCTTTAACCGACGAAGCTTGTTTCTAAGTGATTTTGTGGGTGGTTTGAACGCCAGCTACTTTTATTCCTGCCAGAATTGTTGAGAATTCTGTGTAAGGTTTCCGAGCTTCCTTCCTTGTATAGAATTACTACTGATGATTAGGATTCCTTATTGTTGGTGTTGTCTTGCGCACATCTGACTTGCATGTCGTCATTATTATTATTTCCATTATTATCTCTATCACTACTATTGTTGTTTGTTTAATTTCTTTATTTTCCCTACATACTTCCTGAATAATCTGTCAGGGTAAATGTTAGGTTTTAAATCACTTTCCAATTCAACTGCACCTGCGATGATGGTTATGTTGGGAGAACTACACGACAGCTTGGCCAGCGTGTTTGTGAACATCTCCGGTCATGGTGGTTTGGCAAAGGATAAAAGAAAACAACCCATAGCTCCATTTTTTTCACATTCAGTTGATAGCAGTCACACAATGGAGAAAAAGAAAGCCTTCAAAGTAGTTCATCGTATCGCACCGAATCTTTCCAAAAGACTTCGTATTCGTCTACTGTACACAGCTGAGGTGATAGTCATTCGAACTATTAAGCCTGAACAATGCATTCAAAATAAGTTCGTACAGACGTTATCCCTCCATTGTCAGCCTATGAGAAATAAACAACTGGTGACTTCTACACCATCACGCCTTTTTTATATTTTCAACCCCTATCTTATCATCCCTTAATTTCATCACATCCTCATTAAAAACATGTTTCATTCACTTCTCTTACGATCTAGCATTACTTAATCGGTTCATTTGTTTTTCTTAGCCTTTATCGACTACTGTGTCTACCTGAACATTTGTTTGTTTAATCATACTGTTTTTCATTATTCGTATTATCACACGCCGCCTCACTTTTCATCCTTGTCATTGATAGAACCATTATTATTATTGTTATCTTTACCATTAATATGACTAACTGCACAACTTATATGCACAGTCTTTTTAACCTATGGACAAAACACCATGATTGGTTTATATTTGAATTTTTGTTTATACAGTCATGCAGATGTATTAGATAGAGTTAAGCCCGATGACGAGATCTATTGAATCACAATATTGTTCGTGTAACTGTGTTTTTCTAAATTTTACTGTTAGAATATTTAATATCTCGCATAGTTTACCAACTCGCTAGTTTCCTCACCAGTTGCGAACCAAGGAGAGAGAGAGGATTTACTATGTTACCAACGATTATATCTTAGAAAATCAAATCAAACTTCAATGCATAACAAAAATATTAGAAATATAAAAATTGGAAAAAAAACTTATTCTTCTCTGGAATCTAAGGGGTGAAATGACACAGTGAGTTGAGGAACTTCACTTTCGAGAAGCCATACAGCCAGTCAGCCAATATTTCTTCTCTCGATGGAAGGAAGAACAAGAATGGGGTGTGGATTATCCGTATATTGCAAGAAGCTGGCTGGGAGGTTGTCCAGGTAGCCAAAGAAATGAGAATATATGGTATAGAAGTGCTGGGAATCTGCGAGATCAGATGGAATGGATTTGGGTTATAGAATTTGTCAACTGATAAGTGAGTAATATACTCCGGACTTCATCATCATAATCATCATTTATTTCACTGATTGATTGTCAACTTTCTCAGGTGGGGAGCATCACTCATACATTCTTGACTCATTCTTTCAAATGCACTTTGGTGAAATAATTAATCTGTTGACCAACGACCGAACCGACATTTAGACATTCAAATTTAAATTCAAATTCAAAGCTATGAAGATTAGCATGCAGTGGTGAGGGGGCGGGGGGCGAGAGGGCTGAGCGATAATCACTAATCACTAAACATAGGAAATAACAAAATTGAATCGACCAAACAGATTGCTTGGAAGTTATTGATTTCTTGTTTCGTTGTCTTTCTCCAATGGAGGCACGACTTCAGAATTTCAATGATTTGTACTCAGTCTGATTAAATTCACCACTTGATTGGGATACTTGTATTCAGTTTAGAGAATTGTGACGTGGTGAACGTATCGTTCAGGCCACACAGAAAGAATACACAGTTTGCCTTCAATAATTTTTTCAAAGCTTCACTCTCACGGATTACATTGTCACTGATTGAAAGCCACCATCATCACTGACATAAAAACAAAATGGAGTCGACTCGCTCAGCGTCTGTGATCAACAATAACAGTGAGTGTATTACTTGCTTTGCATTTATCGTGTTTTCTGTAATTGCTAAACACCTTTGTTTACTTAATAACTAATAATTTTACAATTCCCCTTGTAACATTGTACCATTATGAAGACAATATTTAGCGAAGAGACTCTTTAGATATGATAGAGAAGATTTGTAGCTCAGGTGGATAATTTTGATGTGGTTTTGTTCTCTGAGCTGGATAGTTAGTTTGCGAAGCTTTCATCACCTTACTGGGTGACATCTTCAGCGCATACTTCAAATTGAAGTGAGCTTTTAGGTTTCTCCACGAGTTTATTAATCATTCCTCCTGGTGACCTTGGACGTGATTGGTTGTTTATGTATGTTTTCACACCTTCTAGGTTACTTGTGTTGGAACTGATTGTTTCTGTGACTTGAACTTTGGCCAATCGTGTGTGAAGTTTCTTTCTTATTGGTTGATAAATTTTGTCTATCTCGATGTGTCTATTGATTGATGATTCACTGGAATGCCAAGCTTCTAAAAATTCTCTAGCATTCTTGTTATTTCCTTTGTCTAATATTTGAACGTTGTCCCAGTCGAATTGATGTCCGTGGTTGTCTGTGTGTAGTGAAATGAGGGAGTGTATATCATGTCTTTTGACGGCTAGCTTATGTTCGTGGATACGAAGACGAAGGGGACGTCCACTTTGGCCAATGTAGTGTTTTTCACAGTTGTTACAGTTTATTTTGTAGATGATGTTGGTTTTGTCTTCTTTTGCTGTTGAGTCTTTTGGTTGACATAGAATTGAGTGCAGCGACTTTGTTGGTTTGTGTACGACGTCAATTCCTAAAGGTTTGAAGAGTCTTTTAGTGATTTCTGAGATATCCTTTATATATGGTAAGGCGATTTTCTTTGTGTTTTCCTTGGTGGCTTTTGTTTTGGTAGGTTGGCTTGGAGGTATATGTCTCTTGATGAAATTCCGGGGATATCCATTCTTTTGGAAGACGTCCATGAGATACTTTTCTTCCATTTTTCTTAAGGTGGGAGTGCTGCAGTGAGTCCTTGCTCTCTTGAATAGTGTTTGTATGCAGTTCCTTTTGTGTGCTATTGGGTTGTTGCTGTTGTAATTCAGTATTTGGTCTGTGTGAGTTGATTTCCTATAAACTTGAGTTTCTAATTCTCCTGTAGTTGTTCGCCTGACTAAGACGTCCAAAAATGGTATTTTGTTTTCGGATTCCTCTTCTCTTGTGAATTTGATGTCGTTGAAGACGTTGTTTATTAAGTTGTGAGTTTTGTCTAATTCGTTTCTTTTGATTATTACAAATGTGTCGTCGACGTAACGTATCCAAATCTTGGGTTTGATCTTTGGTAGAATTATGTTTTCGAGTCTTTGCATCACTGCTTCTGCAATCAAACCTGATATTGGCGATCCCATGGGTGTTCCTTTGACTTGTTCATATATTTGGCCGTTGAATTGGAAGTATGTTGTTAGGCATAGATTTATGCATTCCATCCAGCTTGTGTGTTGCATTTTTGATTGTTGTGGAAGTTGTTCGTCGTTGCTAAGTAATTGCTCCATGGTTTCTTTTGCTAGTTTTTGTCCGATAGAGGTATATAATGCTGTCACGTCGAAGGATACCATTATTTCTTGTTCATCTATTTGGATGTCTCTGATTTTCTCTAGGAATTGGATAGCAGAGTTGATGGAGTGATCACAGGATTCCGTTAGGTGTTTTAGTTTTCTGTATAATTCCTTGGACAAATTATATGTTGGAGTTCCTGGGAGTGATACAATTGGTCGTAACGGGATATTTGCCTTGTGTATTTTGGGTCTGCCGTAGAATCGAGGTAGGACTGGTCCATTGGATTTCATTCGCCATTGGTCTTGTTTTGTGATCTGTCCAGTTTTGCTGAGCTTGTTTAAGGTCCTTTGGATGCGGTTGTCCAATGTTTGTATGGGATTTGTTGGGAGTTGTTGATATACATCTTCATCTTTGAGTAGTTCTTCAGCTTTCTTGGTGTATTCTTCTCTGTCCATGACTACTGTTGTTCTTCCTTTGTCGGCTGGTAAAATGACGATGTCCTTCCTATTTTTCAGCTTTTTGAGGGCCTTTAATTCTTGAGAGTTGAGTTGTGTGTGTTGTCTTTTCTGTTTGACCATTGGTACAATTGTTTGGCGTATCTCTTCCTGTGTTTCCTCGTTCAAGTTTGATGATTTGAGTAATGATTCAAGGGCAGCGAAGAAATCAGTTTTTGAAGCATCTACAACACCGGAACCTAGAAGGTGTGAAAACATACATAAACAACCAATCACGTCCAAGGTCACCAGGAGGAATGATTAATAAACTCGTGGAGAAACCTAAAAGCTCACTTCAATTTGAAGTATGCGCTGAAGATGTCACCCAGTAAGGTGATGAAAGCTTCGCAAACTAACTATCCAGCTCAGAGAACAAAACCACATCAAAAAAGAAGAGACTCTTTTCAAGGAATGTTATTATCGAGCTGTAGAACCGTATTTATATTTATATATATATATATATGTATGTGTAGTTCTTTTATGAGAATTTAGTCCAGTTAGCGAATTGAGGCGAAGGCGAAGGCGTGAATACACGAAATAAAGAGAGTAGAATAAAATATGTCAGTCAAAGGTTTGTAAATATTAAAATAGAACAATGTCGAGTGGAGACACAAATAACGTCATTTAAAGAACTTTCAAGTGTTGGATTGGTTGGTTGGATTCGATCGGTTGGAGGAGCATTGGAAAAGCTGCAGTGACTACTGGACGGCTGTTTCCGTTGTCCTAGTTTCCGACTGACACCTCAGCAGTACGCACCACTCACCACTATGCTTCAAACCCAGCGTTACATTTCATGGTGTGTGATTTGACTAGATACAATTGAATACTGGTATGCACATTTTGAATTTGATTAACAAATGGGAAAATTGGAAACAATTCACTGTGAGGATACTACTACTACTACTTCTATTAATAATAATAATAATAATAATAGTAATATTATTCGTAGTAATGAGGGAAAGTAAATGAAAAGAGTAAGTGAATGAACAAAGTAAATAAACAAATGTCTATTCGTCTATGGCCAAGGCAGAAGTAGGCATTGCACATACTTCTTTTCTACACAAAATTCTGGTTGGCTTTAATTCATGACTGGCCATGGCCCACGCTGTCTTTAGAAGCTTGAGACGAAGGAAATGCAGCAAGTTGTCATGAATTCGATACATGATGATGACGATGATGATGATGTTCAAACCATGGTCGAAGCTGGAAGAGTGACAGGAGTTGAGCAAGTGTTGTTCTAGAATAGAGCTCCGTACACCCTTCCTTTCTGTCTTGTAAAACCACTCAAGAGTATGTACTCGTTTCCGTGTGGAAGGCGTTCGCTGGCTATGACCAATGTCCCTTGCTCCATTAAAGGATCAGGTGAACTAACAGATGCATATGGAGGCGGGAAGACGACGACGCTTATCTTTTACACAGATGGAGAACAACTTGCAGCTGGTGAACGTCATTTATAGTTTTTCTGCAAAGAACGTCTTACCGACTGATTTTGACAAACGGTTTTTCAGCATATCTGAAGCATACCTTGATCATCTTTGAATTCCGGATTCATGAATAAGGCTTTCTTTGGAAGTGAGTCGGTGACCAGTTTGGACTACTTGTCTTTCATGTTCTTGTCAATAAATCGGTTCGGATGACCGTCTGTCGTGAGCGTGGCTTTAAGAAAGGCTAGTTGTAAGTCAACGCAATCAGAACTACAAGTGTTTGTTATTCTGAAACAGAGTGAATGAATTAGCCTCCTTATCCTAGAGATAGACACGCAACTATAAAATCTAGTTACTTGTCCATTCCATGTACGTTTCCAGTGGATGGATGTTTTGAGAGATCAGTCAATGCATCTACAAAGGCACACTATGATTATAATCGCAGATATTTTGATTGCATTTCATACTACTACTATTATTATGATCGTTATTATTATTATTACTATTCATGTATTCACGCCTTCGATTCCATTCCCTTCCCTCAGCGGATATAGTTAATAACTGTCCTTTTTCTAGAGACATCCCGTATTGACTTATTTGATGGTGTGCCTGTATACGTTTATTCCTTGAGCCTGTTCACAATACTGAATAGACAGTGGACGAAAACATTTAGAGTTGACACAGTTCCCGGTTATGCACATATACTCATTGTTCGGTTGAACTGTGGCCCCCTCAGTGAGTGTCCAATCCATTTCCACTTTCGCCTGCATATTTTCTGTTGTTGGGCGATTGGTTATTGTCTTCTTTCTTCCCATAGTTTCTTGTTGGCGATTCATTCCGACCCGGACATCTGATATTCGGTATAGAGCGATGATAGCTGCTGATGTATGTCTGCAACAGGCTGTTGGAAATATTCTTTGTGATCCGCCCGCCAAGTTTCTCATCCGTATACAAGAACTGACTGACTTGACGTTTGTATTGAAAATCCTACCGAATTTTGTTGTTGATGATGGCTGAGTGACGAAGATTTCGAGATTGGTTTCAGGTTGATTGATGCAGGTGTTTCTCGCCCCCTCCCCGATTCTCACTCAATTTGACATCCTCGTCCGTTCCGACTTCCTGTAGTTGAGACAATGCTCCCTAGATCAGTGAATGAAACAATATCTTTCAAATTCCTCCCGTTGATGGTGATTGGCGCTGGATGTTGCTGTTACTGTTGTTATTGGTTGGTTATTTTCATAACCCCTGTCTTGTCTATGTTCACCTGGAGTCCTGTCTTCACCGGCTGCTTCTTCGACCAGTTTGTCGGTCGGTTTTCGCTTGTAAGTCTTCGATTTTGTGTGTGTCACATTAAACATAAATCATCCATGCGCGAAATCCAGGTCTTCTGGGTTCTTCACGTCGGTCCAGGATATCCCTGCCTTCTCGTTTCCCACTGTCTGACGCATAATCCAGTCAGTCCACCACAAGTAGGAATATCACTGGTGAAAGATAACAAGCACCTTTGTCCGACACCTGTGTTCACTCCAAACTCCTCGCTGAGTTTTCCTTTGTGGATGACTTGACATGTGCCGTTGTCGTACAGCTAGCTGTTGAATAAGGTTGATGAATATTTGGGCGCTGCACGCCGTAGTACTCGAGTAGTTTCCAAATTACTTCGCGGTCAACGCTGTCTGTCGAAGGCCTTCTCAAAGTCTCTAAATTTGAGGTAGAGGTTTGATTGTCATTCCATGTTTTGTTCTGTGATGATGATGCGTAGAGTTGCAATTTGGTCAGGACATGATTTGCCTTTCCTGAATGCAGCCAGCTTGTTCTGGTCGGAGTTCTGTCTCCAGTGCGTCCTTTATTCTCTCCAGGATGATGCGACTCAGAATTTTACTTGGCGTCGACAGGAGCATGATTCCTCGCCAGTTCTTGCAGAGTGAGGCGTAAGTCGCGCTTCTTTGGTAGTTTCACGAGACATTCTTTCCTCCAATCAGTAGGCACACTTCCCTCCTTCCAGACCTTTTGCGATAATGGAGACGGCATATTTGCTGTTGTCTCTAGGTCCGCTTTCAGGGTTTCAGGGGGTATTCTATCTGGTCCAGCTGCTTTTCCAGCTTTCAGAAGCTTGATTGCACTCAAGACTTCAGATCTCGTTGGAGGATTGGTGTCAACTTGCAGTTGTGTACGCGCTGTTGTTGGTATTTCTGGATGGGTTGGAGGTGGTGGTCGGTTCAAGAGTCCTTTGAAGTGACCCACCCATTGTTTAATCTGTCTTTCTTCCTTTGTAATTGGGTTCCCTTGGCTGTCTTTAATAGGTTTCACTTGTGTTGATCTCTTCCCGGATAGAGACTTGGTTATCTGATATAGTGTCCTCAGGTCCCTTTTGCCTGCTGCCTTCTCAGCTTCAGTGGCCAGATTGTCGTAGAATTGTCTTTTGTTCTTCCTAGAACTCTTCTTCACTTCTTTGTCCAGTGCTGTGAAAGTTGAACTCAGCGTCTCCTTCTCTTGTCCGTCCTTGCGTTGAATCATTTTTTCTTTCAACATTCTCCTCTCCTCCACTAGTTTCCAAGTGTCCATTGAGAGCCATTCCTCGTGTTGTCTCTTCTTTCTTCCTAAAACCGTTGAACGCGTTTCGTTGAAAATCACCTTCAGAGAGTTCCAATGGTCTTCCACGCATGATTCTTCCGTGGTGTCACGTAGTGTTTCCTGCTTTGCTCTGACAGTCGCAGTGGAAGTGTCCTTTGTGGTTGTGTTTTTCAGTAATTGAGTGTTGAATTTGCATTGTGGCCTATCCCCAGCTATCCTCGAGGCTTTTAGCTTCACCTTGAAAGTCCCCTGTACTAGATAGTGATCTGAACCCACACCTGCTCCTCTCCTCGACCTTGTGTCCAGTAGGTTCCGTCTTCACTTCTTTGAGATTGAAATGAAGTTTATCTGGCTTTTGGTGTGTCCATCTGGTGAAGTCCATGTCGCTGACCTTGTGTATATCCTTGTGGTTGAACACACTGCCACCGATCACCACATCATTGAAGGCGAAGAAGTCTGAGAAGAGTTCACCATTGTCGTTCATTTCACCGAGGGCCTCACGACCCATGGTGAGTTCTCTTCCTGTGTTGTCTCCTCCCAGCTTCGCATTCATGTCGCTCATCAGGATTTTGATATCGCCATTTGGGACGTTGTCCATTAGTGTTTGTAGTTGTCTGAAGAACGTCTCCTTCTTCTCTTGTTCTGAGACGTTTGTAGACGCATAGCATTGAATGATTGTAACATTCCTTCCGTTTGAGTTGAACCTGGCTGTCATTATCCTGGCGGAGATCGGTTCCCAAAATAAGGCTATTGTTTTCATTTTTAGTAGTTTTCATATATTTGTACGTTGAAGTTTCTACTAGCACCACGGCCCAACATTCCCTCTTCATCCAGGCTTGAGACCGGCTAGAAAACTAGCGAGCTAGTCATCTGGGCCAGGTTAACCAGAGGACATAGATAACACAATATTCCCAGTTCTCTTCAACTCGTTATGTTGACCTACTATGATGAGTCACTATGATGGAATTGAATTTGTCACTCCATACGAGGGTTTCTTAATCCTAACCGGTTATTTTCTGATGACGAACGAATTAACAATGTACTTACTCTATTGTCTTTTCATGTAGATGAGAAATGTGATGAGGTATCACTTCGAACCGACTATAAATCAAACCTTTCTGAGATACTCCACGATCAAAATGTTGTTGATTTGGAGAGAAGACTGATCACACGTCCTGCGACCTCAACAATTCGAAGACCATGTCTCTTTGGTACTCAAACACTCAGTCATCAACAATCCGAGGAGGAGAATGGTGACCATGGAAGCGCCTCAGTTATGAGCGATTACAATTGCTGCAGTCTTGAAACTGCAGTCATGAAACCAGAGTATCATTCTGTTGGAGTGAAAGTAGGTGGAACAGCTTCACCTCGTAGTGAAGGTGGACCAACAATTCGATGCAATTCTGTCGACAAGTATGACTGGAATGCAATGATCGCAGAATCACATGTGATTTCTCCCCGGGTGTTCCAGACACTGGACTATCACAGAGCAACAGAAGTGGTTTCAACAGGTGATTTGCTTTTAATACTTGGTTGGTTGGTTGGCTGGTTGTTTGTTTAGTCGGTCTGTTGCTACTTATATATATATATATATATATATATATATATATTTATCAATCATTATCTGTTGGCTTATAAAGATACGTGAATGACAGCTAGAAAGAGCGAGGGAGAGAAAGAGAGTGAATCACTTATTTTTTAGTACACGTGCTAACTAACTATTCCTTGTAGTATACCTTTCTTCACTATGCTTCTCAGTGTATAACTTGGAATGCATGTAAGTGGAAGGAAGGAAGGAAGGAATGAATGAGGGAAGTAGTCCTTTAATGCCATTGGTTATCATTATAATTTACAGTCTGGAGAAACACACTTAATACTGGGGCCGGCTTATCTGAGTGGTCGGCTTCTAATCGTTCACTTGTGTATCACAGATTCTGATTCACCATACTCAGTCTCAGTAGTCAGTGAGTATCGGTTTAACGCATGCATCGTTTTTCGTGACTACTTGAGTTCCGATTGGGGCGTCGAGCTACAAGCTTTGAGATTTGAAGTTTGGGGCGAGTTAGTGGTGTGATATTTCTGCTGAAATATTCTCCCGAATACATCACACATAATAGCTGAAAACGATTCCCATGACAGACGCTTAGTTGACCTGCATAGAGTGGAGAAGATTATTGAGAATTGAGCAAATGCTTTCCGTATCAGTTCATCAGTTGGCATCAGTGCTTACTTTCCCAGCAAATTTCATTACCAACAGTTAGTCTGAAGAGTGAGGAGTAAATAAATATCCTTCGAAAAGTGAATTTGATCGGCCAATGTCCTTGACACTGGTATTTTAGTCAGTCATGTCGCTAGTTCTGCATTTTATACGTCAAACATTTGAAGGTAGAAAGGATTTCATCGAGAAGTGATTGATTGGTTTACATACTACTTGTCAGGAGAATGAATAGTGGAATGAATATAAATTTAATCATTCATTCACCTAACGCGACTATCGATCGTTAGATGATGTATTCAACTGTGAGTGGAACACCGTTGTGTCCACTTCCCCTCTAATAATCAGGAAGAGTAAATGATGATGAGTGCGTAAATGAATGACCATCTGGCGAGTGAACTTCTCGTCAGTCAGCTACCCATGTGTTTATCTAATACGCAAAACTGAGGATTATTATGTTTCACATTGCAGGTGCTACAGACAAGAAAAGTGAAGATGTCTGTTACTGGACAGGAACCTTACCATTTAGAAAAAACATATCAGGAAATATTTCAAGGAAAGTGTTCGTTTACGGGTTGCCATATGGAATAACGGAGTCTGGTATAATGGAGGTGTTTTGTAGATTTGGCCAAATTACCGTCATTTGGCCAAAACCAGATGGTGTTCATTTGAGTAGCGAGTATAACAATAGAGGTAAGTCATTTTACTGGTAAACAGTGAGAAGCCTCGTTTCCGCCTACTTTGTTTCACTTGACTGACATTGAAATTATCTCATATTTTAGGTTATTGTTATCTCGTATATGAAAATGAGGCATGTGTTCTGGAACTTCTGAGGAACTCTTTCAGAACTCGTAGGATAGATAGTGACTTCTACAGAATTCCATTATACAACTTTCCGTTCAGATATGCGAAGGTGAGGATATATTTTGTCACAGAAATCATGTATTTGCTCTTACCAGTGTTTTGTCTAGTAGTTATGCGTTAATCACAGTGTGACTGACTGACTCACTGACTGACTGAAACTTGAAAGGCAACACTATCCCGCTGAGATAAGACTGTTTGAGGCTTTTGTGGAACTGTCGATACACACTGTCGATGAATCAATCGACTTCCTTGACTTCCTCAGTCCAGTAGGTTATTTGTGATATGCAAATAAATATGCATGTTGCCAACCCATAGGGTTACAAGTGGAAACACTCAGAGGATAAAGATATTTACTTCTTTCATTTTTGTCTGTCCCTGTGTCTGCTGTCTATCTGGTGTGTATCTATCTATCTCTCTGTCTGTGTGACCGTCTGTCTGTCTGCCTATCCATTTATCTGTCTATCTATCTCTCTGTGTTTGGAGACACAGTTGGCATTGTCTACTTTGCACCAATTGGCATTAGTTGACACTCTGTCGAAACATGTCCTCAGACGAATTGAAGAAATGAAATTAGTGAGAGTGCATGCACTTGCCCATTTCAAGAATTTTCAATGTGTGTTTGACTTCAGAGAATTGGCTTCCTTCCACTTGATGTTGTTGAATTATCTGTGAAATAAATTTGGTCAATGCGTTCTTTGTAGGTTCTGGATGTGTACAAAATCAGGCCGGATGGATGAATCAGTATAGCTATATGTATACAATGCACTATAATACCATGTATACAATTGATAAGTGGGATATTTGAGACAAGAAGAAAGAGGAGAATAAGAGGAAGAAGCGCAAAGAATGAATAACTGTCGTGTTAAATTTAACAGATGGCTTCACCACCTGTTATGTTAGACAAGCATTCATAGTATGCGTCAATAACTTTGATGCCAATAAAACAGAATTCGTGACTCACACGATGTGACCAGTTTGGAAGAAATGCTCGGAGGAATTTCACAGTGGAATTAATACTGGCCTTAGAATAAATAACACCGAAGTGGCATGGTAGGAATAGACGAATAGAGTAGGAGTGCGTGTCAAATGAGTCTACAAGTCAGTGGTGTCGAATGAAGGGAGGGAGATGAAGGAGAGTAGGACAGATAATCGGCGGTTTGTTAAAGTGAAAGTTCATGCATGTATCAGTCTGATCATTTGTTAACATTGTCCAGCTGAAAATCTCTTCCCCTTCTCATCACAACCACTCTCAGTTTATCTTTAAGCTGAGCCCTCCACACTGGTTGTCACCGTCGTCTGAAGGATAAACTCGCTCACTTGACGAGTGAGTGAGTGAGTCAGTGAGTGTTTGTGTGTGTGTGTGTGTGAGGGTGATATCTTTCTGATGGAATTTAAAAATATGTAATATTTTATTGGTAATCAGTGTTCTGCATCATTCTGAATTCCGTCTAATTCTAGGTTGTACCTTGGAGCATAGAAGACACCAACTACTGCGGGCCAACTGGTAGTTCTGCCAATATGCAGTATGCCATATATGTTGGACAGCTTCATGGTTTGATGACAGCGAAAGGGCTTGCCAACATCATGGATGACCTGTTCGGAAATGTTGTTTCCGCTACCCTCCACACTGATCAATATAAATATCCTACTGGTGAGTTTGTCCAGTTCAGTAGAATGAAGTTTTACCAGTATATGCCTTGGACGAACAGAAGTAGTAAACAAGTGCACACATCGCTGACTGAGTCGACACGATACACCATCTCACACAACATGTGACAATTTTTTTCTTCAAGTACCATTTCTTTCATCGAAATCGAGTGGTACGGAAAATGTGGTGATAAAAATGAATGTGAATGCTGAGCACAGCATAGAGCAGCAAAGAAGTGTCAGTGAAGGCATAGCTCATACACAGCTCAGATTAGCTCCTGGATATTGAACCAACCAACCAACACTGGCTTCTAATCGACTTCCATCAAGTTCGACCTCAGCAGCCATGTAGTATCATTAGACTTCAGACAAAGTTTGGATAACAGTCCTGTCACACATAACACATATTTGTCGAGTTTTCTGTCTTGTGTTTTCTGTTGACTACCAGTGCATGAAAACACTTGGTGTACAACAGAATTTTCAAGAATTCACATGAAATTTCTGCGAATCAATAAATGAATCCAATGACATTCATGCACTTCTCTGACAGCTTCATTGACCATTAGTCGAAATGACGTTTCTTTGTAATATACTATAACATAATAAACGCTTTTCTGCATGCATTTGCCAAACTCGGAGATGGATGCACGTGCAACATTAATCATTTTGTGTATTTCTTGATATTTCAGGTTCTGCGAGAGTAATTTTCTCCAGTAGTGAGAGTTATTTGAAAGCTATCATCACACAATCGATAACCATTCACACCTCAAAATTCACCAAAACTATTCAAGTTCATCCGTATCTGGGGAATACTCTTTGTAATGTATGTTTAAAGTCTCCTGGAATATATTTTTGCAGAGCACTTCAATGTTTCAAATATTTCTGTCTTAGTTGTTGGAATGGATTTCATCAAAATGTAACTGAAAATTTCAGCGAACACAAACCGTTGAAGCGTTAACTGGGGGTAGATTCCTGTGGTAATCAGCCAGTCAACGACACCAGCGGCCAAACAATGAACAAGTCGTGAAGACATTGAGAAACTTCGTTTACTTTTTTAATTTTGTTGCAAGAAGCAACAAACTGTACTGCTTACTTCTTACGCCTTGTGTTCAATCCGCTTTCGTTAATCTACCCTCACTTTGCTGGTTCACTCTTTTGTATATATTTAAGGGAATGTTTTGACCAATGTGGAAAATACATTTTCAATTGATCCTCTTCTTTCCTCTTTTTATTCGACTGTTCCTTCACGTCAATTATATCACACATAGAATTGATTATTGTCTTACATCGGGAGGTGTTCAGCACATCTCATATTGACATTTCAATAAGATGAAGAGTTTTTGGTGGGATACCGGCAGTTATTCTCTACTATTTGTCTCTCTGTCGATATCGCACTTGCTCTCCCTTCTTTCCTGTCAGTAAGGAACTGCACACAAATTAAGCGTCTAAGGACTCGTCAATGTAAGACAACAAACACGTCTGTGGGTGTTAGGCGACGAGTTGACTTTGTGAATCTATATACATGTATCAAGGTGAATAGAAACTGTTGCTGGGTAAGCTTTCACACGATTGTTTCATACATTTTCTGTCTTCGAAATATCCCTTCTCGTACTCATCAACTATGATGTGCTGAACTGTACGCTTTCTTGCACACAGTTAGTCGTTGTGCACAAAAGTGCATCAGAACAACCTTAGCTCGCTTGAATCATTCACCACACATGATGGAGGTTTCAGTCACGTTCAACAGGATATCGTCGGTCTCTAACCATCTTCCAATGACCACTCATGTGTATTCGTCACATGTGTGGACTACTTTACGCGTTGGCCGAAGGCTATCCGTGTGCTGTATACGATAGCCGAAAGAGTGTACCGAGTTTTCATGGAAAGGTAGATTGTTCAGTTTGAATGCTATTTCGAGGCGACAGTCGATCGAGTACAGCAATTTCAGTCTGGAACTATAGGTAAGCATTTAGAACTAGTGGAATAGACACACATTTGAACCAGGTGATAAAACCCACCTACTATTCATCCAATTGAACACTTTCATCGTCAATGTAAAGTCTCTCACGAGGCCTCGGACAATGTCGGATAATCTCTGATCCGTATGTTAAGTAGCACTGACTGACTTCACATTGGAGTTGAAAATCCGGATCTTATTATATTCATGCTGAGTATTGCTGGGGATCTCCACACAGACTTGAGAGTAATGATAGCTTGTCTTGCTTTCCCGATGATCCTTGCTTTGATATCCTCGTCATTTATGTCCGCCAGTAGTTGAAACGATGCTTCCAGTTGGGTAGGTAGGTAAAGGAGGTTGTTTCTCTCAGGTTCCTCCCATTTATGCTGGCTGATTGTTGTCTGTTGATGTTGCTGTTGCTGTCGGGCGGGAATCTTCATCACCACATCTGTTTTCTCTCTGTTCACCTGAAGTCACATCTTCCCTGGATGCTTCTTCTGCCAATTTGTTGCTTTCCAATTGCAAATCTTCCAGTTTTTGGGAAATCAGACATTCATCATTGGCGAAGTCCAGATCCTCCACGTTGTTTTTTGTGTTGGTCCATTTTATTCCGGGTTCCTCGATATCCGCTGTCTGTCGCATTATCCATTTTATCGCAATCACGAAAACCATTGGCGATAGGAGGCAGCCAGCCAGCTTGTCTTACTCCCGTCCTCACTTCGAAGGATTCCGTAGGTTTCCCGTTGTGGATTACTTGGCATGCAGCATTGTCGTACAACTATTGAACGAGATGTATAATTGTCGGTAGCACCCTGTAGTAGCGAAGTAGTGGCCAAATCACCTGTCGATCAACGCTACGCTGTAGGAGGCCTATTCAAAGTCGATGAAATTGAGATAGACAGGTGACTGCCATTTTTAAGCTTCGTTCAATGTTGATCCGTAGTGTGGCAATTTGATCAATACATGACTTGTCTCTCCTGAATCCATCCTGTTCCGGTTGAGGTTTTTCATCCAGGTTGGCGTGTTTGTTGCTCTTCAGAATGATTCGGCTCGGTACTTTGCTTGAGATGGACAGGAGCATAACTCCGCGCCATTTCTCGCAATGACTTAAGTCTCCTTTCTTTGGCAGTTTAGATAAGTATCCTTTCTTCCAATCCATACGCAGCTTGTCCTCTCTCCACAGCTTCTCCAATAATGGTGTCATCATGTCCGCTGTCGTCTCTGGGTCCATTTTCAATGATTCTGCTGGGATTCCGTCTGGCCCTGCTTCTTTTCCAACTTTAGGCATCTTGATTGCCTTCAGGACTTCTGTTCTCGTCGGAGGGTTGATGTTCACTGGCAGTTCCGCTTCCGCTTCCGTTGGTATTGTTGGGCGCATTGTAGCTGGCGGTCGATTTAGAAGTCTTTTGGAGTGTTCAGCCCAGTGTTTTCTTTGCTCCACCTCTTTGGTGATTGACTTTCCATTGTCATCTTTCTCTGGCTTAATTTGTGCCGAACTTTTCCCCGATAGGTGCCTAGTTGTTTGGTAGAGTGTGACGAGGTCTCCTTTGCCTGCAGCTTGTTCTGCTTTACTTTCCATGGCTTCATAATATTTTCGTTTGTCTTCTCTGACACTCTTCTTTACTCTTTTGTTCAGTGCATTGTAGCTTGCATTCAACTCCTGTTTTTGTTGCTCGTCGGCTCACTGGATAATCTTTTGTTTTACCATCCTTCTATCTTCTACTAGTCTCCAAGTGTCCGTAGTGAGCCACTGTTTGTCCTGTCCCTTCTTTCTGCCTAGAACTTCCATGCAGGTTTGACTCCACACTGTTTTCCAGTTGTCCCAGTGCTTTTCGACGCCGACCTGTTCGCTAGTGTTGACTTGTGTCTCGGCTTCTTTTCTTATGTTTGCAATGAAGATGTCCTTTGTAGCCTGGTCCTTCAGTTTTCGAGCATTGAATTGGCTTGTGGTCTAACTGCAGCTGCTGTTTCTTTGAAAGCTTTTAATTTTGAGCTTCTCTACCCATGATGAGTTCTCTTCCTGTGCTGTCTGTTCCCAGTTTGGCGTTCATCTCTCCCACTAGTATTTTGATGTCACCAGCTGTAGTATTGTCGATTGTTGCCTGTAGTTGTCTGTAGAACTCTTCTTTCTTTCCGAGGTCAGCGTTGTTTTTGGGTGCATAGCATTGTATAACTGACACTTTTCTTCCTTTGGAGTTGAATCTGTTAGTCATTGTCCTGGGTGAGGTCTCTTCCCACTGCATCAGGGCCTTCGTTTCCGTTGGTGACATTGTGATAGCCACGCCCTCAGTGTGTATGTGGTTGTCTTCTGGGTGACCGGAGTATGTCACTAAATCTCCCGATGACAATTTGGTGATTCTATTCCCATTCCATCTGCTTACACATTTTCCCAGTACTTGAATTCCGTATCTTTTCATCTCGTTTGCAATCTGGGTAACTTTGCCATTCTCATATGTGATGTGGACGTTCCATGTCCCCACACAGACATTTTCTTTTGGCGCAAGGAGATTCATGGTGATGAAGTTTTTGTAGCAACTTTGTTTACAGGGTGGCGTTGCTAGTCTCACGCCTTAGAAGCGGGTTGTTATACCTACGTGTAGTTTACAGAGGAGTGTCCTTGTGGGTTGCTCCCCACAGGAATCAGGAAACACAAGGAATAAAACAATCGGAACAACACCAGCAAAATGAAAATAAACATAATCCACAACAGGAGGGGCAGCGACAGCAACATGAAAAGAAAAATGACTGTAGTAGTAGTAGTATCACAGTCAGTTACAGTTAACAAAAATGATACCAAAATCATAGAATCACTGACTTGAGCCAACTAGGACATGTAAATCCATCAATATATACAATTATAGATATTAGGTAGTGTTAAAAAGTCACAAAATGGCTAGCAGATAGTTATTATAGTGTTATAATGTTTTCTCTATTACCTTTCAAACATTGAAGTATGAAGTGTTATTATTCATAACCATTGTAATTTCAGGTAGTTTGCAGCACCTGATGAGGTGAGAATCTGTGAAGTAGAATGATGATATCGTTTATTTCAATTTGTTTCCATGCTCATTTTGTTCTCACTTGCAATTCATTCTATCCCTGCGTAATGTTTGTCTCTACGCCTCCTGTAATTCATATCAAGTTGAAAGTAACTGTCACCTATTATTCGCCTTTAAAACTATTATTTCTCCAGTTATCAAATATTAATTTTTTGCATACGTTGTAAATGTTTTCTAATCCTATGTAATCTTGTCTCTAAGCTCCTTGTAATTTGTATTCATACCTTCAAACTTTCATTTCAAGTAGAAAAATATTATCTCCTTCATTACTATGTGGAATTAAATAAATGATAATTGTATCCATGTAAACTAATATATAATATAATATATTATATATAGTATTATGATATATTATTATTATTTGCTTATACTGACTCATCCAGCCATTTATTGTTCATCACCTGAGAGAGCACATCCGTGTGTACTATGTCTTCTCCCTCTCACACTCTTTCTCTCTCTCTCTCTCTACATACGTATATATACACATGTATAGAGAGAGAGAGAGAGAAAGAGCTGAGGCCCTATGTTCCTCTAGGAATTAAAATAATATATATATATATGTATAATAAAGTTTAAGTGGGTAGGGAAGCACTATATAGAAGAGATAAAACATAGTAGAAAGATGTCACACTTAATCAACACACAGGTGTCCTCTCTCAGGTGATGAACATTAAATGGCTGGATGAGTCAGTGTAGGCAAATGACTTCTCAATATACACGAGTTAAAGGGGACAGGGGAGGGGATGGGGGAAGGGAAAGCACTACATATCAAGTGATCTACGGCCTGCCTACTCCACCTTTCAAAATTGTAAATCAAGTCAAAATGCCTATGTATGCGTCAGTTATTCGAATTACCAAATATAAGATATGTGTCGATCGATGAACCAATCAAATCAGTCAAAATGAGCATATATATACTCGGGATCAGACTAGCCTGGATTAGAAGCTTCTCATTCTGCACCAAGCAAATGGACTTCCAATTAAACACATTTGTGTGCCTCCATCAATTCATCCACCCATACAGATAGCTTCCTGACTGGCTGGCTCGCTATGAATGACAACAAAGAGAACAAACCGAAACGGCGTTTGAATGCGTTCCACTGCTTTGTGAAGATCGCGATAGCTGAATACAAGAAGAAGCTTCCGGAGCAGGCGTTTCTACTGTGTGACGTAACAAATAGGTGTGCACAACAATGGAATGTGAGTATCTGTTTACACTTGATTGCTAATCATAATAATAATACTAATCATATCAGGTGATGAAAGGAGAACAGAGGAAGCAATTCGTAGATATTGCTGA